TCCACTTCCAGGTATGTATCTGAGAGAACTGAAAACATGCTTCTATGCAAAAACTTGCATTTTCATAAGCATTATTATTCAAAAGCAGCATTATTCATAATAGCCAAAAAGTAGAAGCAACTCACATTCTATAAACTGATAAATGAATAAATAAAATGCAGTAGATCCTTTCAATGGAATACTGTTAAACAATAAAAAGGAGTCAAGTACTGACACATGCTATAATATGCATGAAATTTTAAAAACATGCTCAGTGAAAGGACCCAGTCACAAAGACAACATATCATATGATTCAGTTTACATGAGAAGTCCAGAGTGGTCAAACCTATAGAGACCAATAATAGAGTAGGGGTTACCCTGAATGAAGAAATGGGGAGTGACTGCCAATGGATACAGTATTCTTTGTGGAGTAATGAAAATGTTCTAAAATTTATTGTAGCGATGGTTACATAACTCAGGAATATACTAAAAACAACTGAATTGCACACTTTAAATGGATATATTACACTTTTTTGTAAAAAGATTGTATTTTTTTATTTGACAGAGAGAGATCACAAGTAGGCAGAGAGGCAGGCGGGGGGTGGGGGAGGGAAGCAGGGTCCCCATTGAGCAGAGAGCCCCATGTGGGGCTTGATCCCAGGAATCTGAGATCAGTACCCGAGCTGAAGGCAGAAGCTTAACCCACTGAGCCACCCAGGTGCCCCTAAATTGCATCTTGATAAAGCTGTTTAGTCCCAATAGTTTATTTTTGCTTTTGTTTCCTTTGCCTCAGGAGACATATTGACTGCTATGACCAAAGCAAGACAAATTACTGCCTATACTCTCTTCTAGGACTTTTATGCTTTTGGGTCTCACATTTAGGTCTTTAATCCATTATGAGTTTATTTTTGTGTGTGGTGTAAGAAAGTGGTCCAGTTTCCTCTCTCTCTCTCTCTCTCTCTCTCTCTTTTTTTGCACGTAGATATCCACTTTTCCCAGCACCATTTATTGAAGAGGTTCTTTTTTCCATGGCATATTTTTGCCTCTTTTGCTGAAGATTAATAGATTAATTGACCATATAATCATGGGTTTATTTCTTGCTTTCTATCCTATTCCATTGATCTACATGTCTATTTTTATGCCAGTATCATACTATTTTGATTACTACAGCTTTGTAGTATAACTTAAAATCTGGAATTGTGATATCTCCAACTTTATATTTCTTTTTCAAGATTGCTTTGGCTATTTGGGGTCTTTTCTGGTTCCATCCAAATTTCAGGATTGTTCTAGTTCTGTGAAAAGTGCTGTTGCTATTTTGATAGGGATTGCACTAAATCTGTAGATTGCTTCAAATAGAATGGACATTTTAACAATATTTCTTCTTCCAATCCATGAGCATGGAATATATTTTCATTTATTTGTGTCATCTTCAATTTTTTTTTCATCAGTGTTTTATAGTTTTCAGTGTATAGGTTTTTCACTTCCTTAGTTAAGTTTATTTCTAGGTATTTTACTATTTTTTTTTAAAAGATTTTATTTATTTATTTGACAGAGATCACAAGTAGGCAGAGAGGCAGGCAGAGAGAGAGGGAGAAGCAGACTCCCTGTTGAGCAGAGAGCCCGACGCGGGGCTCAATCCCAGGACCCTGAGACCATGACCTGAGCTGAAGGCAGAGGCTTTAACCCACTGAGCCACCCAGGCACTCTGGTATTTTACTATTTTTGGTACAATTGTAAATTGGATTGTTTTCTTAATTTCTCTTTCTGCTGGTTCATTATTAGTATATAGAAATGCAACAGATTTCTGTACACTGATTTTGTATACTGTGACCTTACTCCATTTATTGGCTTTAGTAATTTTTTGGTGTAGTCTTTAGGGTTTTCTATATATAGTGTCATGCCATCCACAAAAAGTTAAAGTTTTACTTCTTGCTTATCAATTTGGATGGTATTTCCTTTTCTTATCTGATGGCTGTGGCAAAATAAAAAGCTTTTGCATACAAAGGAAACAAACAATAAAACTAAAAAAAATGACCTATTGAATGGGAGAAGATGTTTGCAAATGACATATCGGATAAAGGGTTAGTATACAAAATATATAAAAAACTGATTCAACTCAACAGCCAAACAGGAAATAATCCAATTAAAAAATGGACAAAAGACGTGAACAGACATTTCTCCAAAGAAGATATCCAAATGGCCAACAGATATATGAAAGGATGCTCACTCAACATCACTCATCATCAGGGAAATGCAAATCAAAACACAATGAGATATCACCTCACACCTGTCAGAATCGCTAAAATAAAAAATATAAGAAACATCAGCAGGGAGCCTGCTTCCCCCCCTCTCTGCCTGCCTCTCTGCCTACTTGTGATCTCTGTCTGTCAAATAAATAAATAAAATCTTTAAAAAAAAGGATATATGCACCCCTGTGTTCATTGCTGCATTATTTACAATAACCAAATTATGGAAGAAGCCCAAGTGTCCATCAATAGATAAATGGATAAAGAAGATGTGAGATATATATATGGAATATACAATGAAATTTTGCCATTTGCAACAATATGGGTGGATCTAGAGGGTATAATACTAAGTGAAAAGAATCAGTTGGGGAAAGACAAATAGTATATGATTCCACTCATATGTGGAACTTAAGAAACAAAATAAATAAATGAGGGGGAAAAAAGAGAGAAACCAAAAAACAGACTTAACTATAGAAAATAAACAGGTGGTTACCAGAGGGAAGGTAGGGGTGGGAAATGGGTGAAATAGGTGAAGGCGATTAAGAGTACACTTATCCTAAAAAGGCAAAGAATCTGTACTGAAGGAACTACAGAACACTTATGAAAGAAACTGAAGAAGACACAAAAACATGGAAGACCATTCCATGCTCATGGATTGGAAGAATAAACATTGTTAAAATGTCTATACTGCCTAGAACAATCTGTACTTTTGATGCCATCCCAATCAAAATTCCACCAGCATTTTTCAAAGAGCTGGAACAAATAATCATAAAATTTGTATGGAACCAGAAGAGACCCCGCATTGCTAAGGAAATGTTGAAAAAGAAAAACAAAACTGGGGGTATCATGTTGCCTGATTTCAAGCTATACTACAAAGCTGTGATCACCAAGACAGCATGGTACTGGCACAAAAACACATACATAGACCAGTGGAGCAGAGTAGAGAGCCCAAATATGGGCCTGCAACTCTCTGGGCAAATAATCTTCCACAAAGCAGGAAAAAATATACAGTGGAAAAAAGACAGTCTCTTTAATAAATGGTGCTGGGAAAATTGGACAGCTACATATAGAAGAATGAAACTCGACCATTCTCTTACACCATACACAAAGATAAACTCAAAATGGATAAAAGACCTCAATGTGAGGCAGGAATCTATCAAAATGCTAGAGAAGAATGTAAGCAGTAATCTCTTTGACATCGGCCTCAGCAACTTCTTTCAAGATACGTCTCCAAAGACAAAGGAAACAAAAGTAAAAATGAACTTTTGGGACTTCATCAAGATAAGCTTCTGCACATATGGTCCATATATAAAATGGAGTATTATGCCTCCATCAGAAAGGATGAATACCCAATTTTTATATCAACATGGACAGGACTGGAAGAGATTATGCTGAGTGAAATAAGTCAAGCATAGAGAGTCAATTATCATATGGTTTCACTTACTTGTGGAGCATAAGGAATAACACGGAGGACACTGGGAGATGGAGCAGAGAAGTGAGTTGGGGGAAATTGGAGGTGGAGACAAAACATGAGGGACTGTGGACTGAGAAACAAACTGAGGCTTTTAGAGGGAAGGGGGCTGGGGAGGTTGGGTGAGCCTCATGGTGGGTATTATGGAGGGCACGTATTACAGGGAGTACTGGATGTGGTGCATAAACAATGAATGCTGGAACACTGAACAGAAATAAAATGAAAAAAAAGTACACTTATCATGATGGTCATGGAATAATATTTAGAATTGCTGAATTACTATATTATACACATAAACTAATATGACACTGTATGTTAACTATACTGGATTTAAAATAAAAAATTTAAAAATAAGAAAAAGACAATCTAAAGTAAAAATAATAGTGTATTGTGGAGTATATTTCATATTTAGAATTAAAACCTATGGCAACAGTAATATAAAGCAGGGAATGGGAAATTTGAAATATGCTAGTATAAAGTTCTTATGTTTTAAATGAAATGGTATAATATTATTTGAGTGTATACTGTGATAAGTTAAAGATATAACTGGTAAACTCTAAAGCCACACTATGCACATAATACACAGCGGTATAACTAATAAGTATATAATGACTCTGAAATGGATTCATAAAAATTCTCAATCTAGGGGCACCTGGGTGGCCCAGTGAAGCATCTGCCTTTGGCTCAGGTCATAGTCTTGGGGTCCTGGGATTGAGACCTGCGTCAGGCCCCAGCTCAGTGGGGAATCTTTTTCTCCCTCTCTTCCTGACTCGTGCTCACTCTCTCTTTCTCTCTCTCAAATAAATAAATAAAAAATAAAAAGTTCTCAATCTGAAAGGAGACAGAAAAGAATAAAGGGACAAAGAACCAATGGAACAAATAGAAAACAAAGATGGTAGATTTAGACTCAACGTTATTGATAATTATATTAACAACTAAATACTCCAATTAAAGGCAGAGATTGTCAGACTAAATAAAAAAGTAAGTCCTTACAATATGCCACCTACAAGACACTTTAAAAAAACAAAGATCAGAGTTGTACCAGGGACAGATCAGTATAAGCCTTATGGTCTATGGTGCAGACTTGGGTTGGGAAGACCAACAACAGTAAAGGGGTTGTGAACACTGCAGGGATGAGCACCATGAATAAAAGGAAAAAGATCAACAAAAAATTAAAGAGAGCAATAGTGGAGTCACTCCAAGAATTGGGCCTTTCAGACCTGGGATTAGGGAGGTGCTAGCAAGATTTCTCCTGCCTCCTTCCTGCACAAAGAAATGTATTTTAGAGGGCTGAGGACACCTACCAGCCCATTCTCCATTTCTGGACATGCCATCAGGATTACCTAGACAAGAAGAGTAGGGGGAGAGGGGAATGATTTCGGTTAGGGAACTGGAGAAACACAGCCAAGGGAGGACTCAGAATGTTAGCCCTACCTCACCCTCCCCTAAGGCTGACCTTGACCCCAAACTCCCAGACCAGGAGCCAGAAGTCTAGCAAGGTGTGAGGCAGGGGTCCTTGTGTGGCAATGTAGGCCTGGCTTCCGTCTGTGCCCTGGTAAAGGCTAAGTTCACCACTGGGATCTTGCTGTCACCCCCACCGTGTCCGCCCCTTCCCTGACTCCCAGCCTGACCCAGATGAAGTTGCCATGTCCCTCCTCCTGGAGCAGGGAGAGGATCACTCGTGTCTGATCATCTGCTAGAGGGAGAGGTGAGAAAAGTACTTTGGCCCGGACAGACTCCTGGATGAAAGCCAGCAGGGTTACTGCACACCCAGCAGGGATTCCACCTGGGTGCACTTGCATGCTGCTCAGGAGAAATGCAGCCACTTGCAAGGATCTGAGAGGGAGTACACTGGGAGCATAGTGGGGTGGATTGGACTGCCATGGGGTGGAGATATGTGCAGAGCCCCACCGACTCCCTTAGGAAGCCCCCAACTTACATGGCAGCACATCTTTGTAGCGGTTCTTCCTCACGTTCCCTGGCTGACGGCCAGCCTCAGTGGAATACACAGGGTCGTTCTTCCATGCGGCTGAGTGGGCCTGGATGTCCTGGTGGAAGGCACGATTAGCCAACCCCGGGAAAGGAAGGAGAGAAGATAGGAGCCAAGTCAGAGTTCTGGGGCACAGAGGCATTTGTAGGGAGTGCGCAAGTGCGCAAGTGCGTGCCTCTCACATGGTTTGTGAGAGGTGAATGCAGACTCTTAGATAGCATGGTGCCTGGGTGGGTAATTGTAGTGAGACAGTAGTAATCGCAACTCAGAGCACCTTCTCTGTGCCAGGCTCTGTGCTAACGACATTGAATCACTACAAGGTCTCCATTGTGATGTTCCCATCGTGTAGGTAAGAAAGCTGAAGCACGATATGGTTGAGTGACTTGCTGAAAGTCTCAACCAGGAAGTAGAACAGTGAGGGTTGCATCTACCACCCAAACACAATCTGTGTTACATTATATTATAAACAATAATTGTAATGTAATATGTATTTAATATAACAAACATGAAGTATGATACATATGACACTATAAAATGTATATAAATTATAATGTATAACATTACTTGTGTAACAAAATATCACTGATACTTTGTTACTGTTCGATTATTATAATTCGTAAAGTATATTACCATCATCAGCTATTCAAAATCAGACGATAATAGGTAACACCTACCAATGCCTACGATGCTGCATTAGCATTCCTTACACATGGCTTGTATTACGGCACTGTAATGTTTAGAATCTTTTCAACTAGCTACAAAGGGACCTACAAAGTGAGCGCTCAAGATCTGCTAGGCGCTTTTTTTTTACCCACACTTGTTCCTCATGCCAGTTCAGTCATTAACCTTAGCGTTTTACCCAAGTTGAAACTGACACCAGAGGACCCAGGTAAAGTACCCTAGGTCACAGCTCCTATTAGAGTCCGGCATCCACACCACCATCCCCCCTTCTCCCCACCCGCAGTAGGGCTTCTTGGGTCCTCTTCTCCTGGCCCCTTCTTCTACATGATCACAGAGGCCAGAGCTGACCGGTGTCCAGTGCAAGTGCGCGCCTGCCTTCCCTTGGGGAGCCGGCTTCTCCAGCTCCACCCAGAAGTGAGACCGTTCTGGGAGCTGGATGAGACGGCACAGGGACCCGAGGGCGTGGGCGACACCGCCCAACCCGGCCGTGGACTTCGCTCTGTGGGCAGAGGATGGGGACAGGGAAGAGAGCGACAGAGAGGTGCTGGGAAGAGAAAAATAGACCTCGAGGCGAGGAGACACCCTTGGACGCTGAGAAAAAGGGACGGAGGGCAAAGCGCGGCAGGGAGCACAGTACAGATATCCTGACAGTCCGGGATCAGGAGTCAGAGCGCGCGGTTTGGTCGTTCACTCTCGCCCACTCACGCTGAACTCGCCGGCCAGGACCGCCCTCTCCTGGCCGCCTCGCGCCTCCAACTGCTCCAAGAAGCTCTGCACAGCGTCCAAGTTGCGGTTCATGACGCGGTCGCCTGGCAAGCTCCACTTAAGCAGCTGCGCTCGCCGAGGGTAGCTAGTAGCAAGAAAACTGGAGGCGGAGGCGGCCTGCGGAGGCCCCGCCTCCGATCTTGCGACCCAATGGAAGCGCGCAGCAGGCGGCAGGTCTCGCCCCTCGGCCAATAACATTCGTAGCTCGTCCCGGTACCGCCCACAGGCTCGCTGACCCCGGCAGCAGCCGGAGACTTAGGTCCTCTTCCTCTGGGTCTGAGGAGTCCATAACTGGTGCTTCCCTTTTTATGGGCCTCGGGCACGTTGGCTGAGACCGCAGAATCCCCTGGACGTTGTCTCCTGCTTGGTCCCAGAACCCGCGCCCAAGGGCCCGCGTTGGGTAGATGCCCTTGCATTCTCGCCTGGCCTCCCAGGTCGTCTCCCTGAGAGAGAGAGAGACTGGGCTCTGATGGTAGCCGAGATGGAGCTGCAACTCCTGCCTCGAGGACCCTGGGCTGGTGGCATCCTTCACTGTGCGCTACTGCGGCGGGGCCCGAGGGAGGTCACGGGAGGTTGCCGAGGTTGCAGCGGGGCGGTATGTGTGTCGGGGGTGGGGTGGGGGGGAATGACACTCGGGCACCCCCGCTGTGAGAAAGATCGAATGGAAGCGGATGTTTCTGTGTCTCTGTTTCCTGAGGTTCCTCTTTTTGGGTCGGACTAGGAGGAACTGGGGGCGCCAGGATCCTTTCTGAATTTAAAAATCTCAAAAAAATCCTCACATAAACCTGCAGGGAAACAGAACTGAGGCCGTCAAAATGGGTTCCAGGGAGAAAGATGTTCTCAGGGATTTCTAAAAGCTTCTCTTTTTTGCTGTCTGCACACTCTCACCTTGAGAAAATGGGCAGGAAAAGGCCAGAGGACAACATGGTGATCCAGTTCCCCAGGTCACCAAGGGGAGGCTGGAGAAAGCCTAGAGGAGCCTAGGGCTCCTGCCTGGGTAGATGGGTCAGCCCACCCCTCACCCAGCAGGGCTCCAAGGGTCATGGAAGGAATTTCAGGGGGTGTCACCAGAAGGGGTGTCTGTGGAGTCCAGTTTGAGGTTGTTGAGGTGTCAAAGGTTAACCAATGGGGTGAGGTGTATTTTACGTGATTGAAGGGTCAACAAGGTCATTGGTTCAGGTTGTGGATTTAATTAATTACGGATTATTAGAATGTTGAGTTAGGGATGGGCAAACTCTTTTTTTTCAAAAGGCTTTGGTTTTTGGCCTTGCTGTCTCCGGTGTCTGTACCAGCTACTCAACTCCACCATGACAGTGTGAAAGCAGCCATAGGCCATGTGTAAAGAAATGAGTGGGGCTATATTCCAATAAAACTATTTGTGGACACTGAAATTTTAATTTCACGTAATTTTCATGTGTCACAAAACGTGTGTGTGTGTGTGTGTGTGTGTGTGGCCTGAGGCTGTGTGGTTTGCTGACCGAGGTTTAAGTGACAGAAGTCAAAGTGGACGATCAGTGGGGATGTTTAATTTATAGGCGGGGTCACTGTGGACTCAGTGTTTATTAGTTTCATCTCTAAGAGTTCAAAGATGGTAAAAAATGATCACTGAGGATGGACGCTTATAGTGAATTCATTGGAGGTCAATGAGAGAGGTCTTTGGATGTTCACGGGCAACTGTCATCAGATGTTAATGGCAGTCACTGGAGGTCAGTGACAGACAGGGAAAATGGCTGAAGGGCTATTGGGATTTGGAGTGGTAGTTTAAGTAATTGAGGGATCAAAAGAAGGAAGGTCATTGAGGGCTCCTACTCAGTGCACTATAGTGTATGTCAATGAACTGAACTTTTGTGACTGGTCATGGGTTGAGACTCAGGGAGGTGGGATACAGAAGAATCAGGTAACTTTGAGAAGATATGGATGTTCAGTGCAGGAGTCATGGACACTCTTTAGTCTCTGAATACTCATGGATATTAATGGCAGTCATTAGGGAGTAGGGGATACCAAAGTATACGAGGAAGAGTCACTGTGGGATCATGAAAGGTCTTTGTGGATCCTGGTGTTAGTGGATGTCACTGGAGGTCAAAGGTTACTGGAAACTGGTGGTTTAGGGGAGCTTTGAGTAGCTTTGAGGCTACTGTACAGTTCTTCTCTGGCTTCTTTTTTTGATAGACCAAAAAAGCACAGAAAATATTGGAAAAAAATTCTCCCATTGCTCCTGTTAAGAATCTGCAGGCTTGATGGGCTGACCTGTTGGTCCATCCACAAGTGTGGTGCTTAGCAAACGAAAAATGACACTGTCTTCAATAGGGGCAGCTTGTGCCCACCAGTGACTATAGCTAACTACCTTTGGGTGGGCTTTTGTTAGTCTCCTCTAACTCTCCTCAGGGCTTCTGGATTTCAGTGTTCTGAATTGAGGATTCCTCCTGGTCCCTTTCTGGGGGGGGAAAAAGGCAGGCTGCTTAGAGCGGGGGGAACACAGTGCAAGGAGAAAGCCACCCTACTTACTGCTTCTCAGTCCCATTGCCAACCCACATGACCTCTTTGTGGAGGCTGGTTTTTACCCCTGGGAACTGCCCTGTTGTTCTGCTTCACAGAGGGAGAAGGAAAGCCCTCTTCCTCATCTTTAAAAAATGATATCCTTAAAATGTTCCTATCAACCAGCCCCACTTCTTCCAGGGCAGAGCCTGGGTATCTTTGTCACCTAGAGTGAGCCCCAGATGCTAGTCCATGCCTTTGGAGTAAATGAACTCAGTCCTGGGCTCTCTGTGCCAATAGCTTCGACTGCTGTAAACTCTAGGCAAACAAACTCTGACAGTGAAGCTAGGACCATCCTGGGGCCTCTGGTCTGGTGGCCCTGCATCCTTGGTTTGTAGCTTCCATACCCAACTTTAGCCCAGCCCACACACACCTCTGTGTGTGTGTGGCACCTTATTTGGAAAAGACCAACTAGCCATGTTCTTTTAAGCTTAGTCTGGATAAAGTCCTGCATAGCTAAGGGCTCTTCTATGGGTGCTGAATGCAGAGCCCATGGCATCACAACCAAAGGGAGGTACAGATCTCCACTGGCATCTGCCACTCAATTATAAAACCAGAGGGAAGTTAAGTGCACATCTATGTCTGGGCAAGTATGAACACCTTTGGAAGGATTTCTGTAATGAGACCAATAGCAAGGGCAGGGGGCATCTCATGCTGCTGCTGCTCAGTGTTCTCAAGTCCTAGCCAATGCACTATGGCAAGGAGAAAGAAAGGCAGGGGTCTGTCAAAAATACTGTGTAATTGGCACATGGCATAATCAGCTGGAAAGTTAGAAAATCTTATGAAAGACCATAAAGGGTTAAAAGGAAATTTAATAAGGTATCCAGTTGAAATATAATACACACACACATCACACATATAAATATAGAAATCATTTTCCTATATAACAGCAAAAATGAACTTGAAACTGTAATGCCCAAAAACCCTATTAATTTCTTTAAAAATAGGCACCAAGTTCCAAACCCTTATTGAATTAATAGAGCTAAACAATGATACTAATGTCTGCTACCATCACAAAAAAAGACACCCACACATTATCATTCTCCTGGTAAAAGAACACAACACTCCACCCACCAAGTATTCCCACTAACAAAATTCAAACCTGTACCTGATTGAGCCTTTAGATCTAAATGTTAATTCAGAGGAAACAGAAGGGCACAGAAAAATGTTAAGTGACACAACAGGGACAAGATCAGAGACATCCAGACTGTGGAAACTCTAAGGCAAATAAACCAGTTTCCTAATTGAATAAATTACAAAGAAAAAAAAAAAGAGAGAATCCTACAGGTTAAAAGAGACTTAGGATGTTCACAAATACTGCAGCATTATTCATATTAGCCCCAAAGTAGAAACAACCCAAGTTTCATAAAGTGATAAATAAAATATGGTATATCTATACAATGGACTATTACTCACCAGTAAAAAGAAATGAAGTATAACGCATGCGTTGTACAACAGGGATAAACTTTGAAAATGCACTGCTAAGTAAAAGAAGGCAGTCAAAAAACACCACATATTGTATGATTCCATTTGTATGAAATGTCCAGAATAGACAAGTCTATGGAACAAGAGTAGATTAGTGGTTGCAAGGGCCTGAGGGTAGGGGGATGGTTGGCGGAGAATGGCGAGTGACAGCTAATGGGTATGGAGTTCTTTTTAGGAGGTACAAAAATATCCTAAAATTAGATTATAGTGATGGTTGCACAATCCTGTGAAAATGATAAAAAATTTTAATTGTATATATATATTTTAATTGTATACCTTATTTAAGGTATAGGGTGAACTGTGTGATATGTGAATTGTATCTCAATAAAGCTATTTAAAAAGTGACAAGTTACTTTTCAATCATTTGCAATGAAAGGACCTAATTTGGATCCTAGTTCAAACTAACATACTGTAATCAGGAAAAACTCAAAATTAACTGCATATTTGAAATAATTGGTTCTTTAGACATGACAATGGTATTGTTATTCTTGTAGAGTCCTTATCTTTTGGAGATATATACAGAAATATTCATGGATGAAATGAGGTCAAGGATTTACTTCAAAATAAACAAGTGAGTGGATATACGGAGTAGGTGGGGCTATGAAGGAAACCAGATGGTCAACACTGAGGTAGGCTCATGGACTCATTGTATGGTCCTTTCTGCTCTTGTATGTTTGAAATTTTGCACAATTAAAATATTTAAATCAATCAGGATAGAGGTGAACAATCATTTCTATAGAAAAGAGAGCAAACAGGTCAGAGAACCACATACATACAAATGGCCAATAGTATTTAAAAAGATGCACAAACTCCATCATAATTAAAGAAATACGAAATCAGCTGGGGAACCATTTTGCACCTAGAGCTTGGCCAGATGAAGTCTGATTGTACCCAGTGCCAGCAAGGACACAGAAACAGGTACTCAGATCTATTGACAGTGGCCAGCAGAGCCTCTTGGAGGACAACAATTCAGCAGCATCTATGATCATTTTAAGATTTTATTTATTTGAGACAGAAAGAGTGAGAGAGAGAGAGAGAGAGAGCACAAGTGGGGACAGAGGGAGAGGAAGAAGCAGATTCCCTGTTGAGCAGGGAGCCCAATGCAGGGCTTGATCCCAGGCCCCTGGGATCATAACCTGAGCTGAAGGCAGATGCTTAAACCAACTGAGCCGCCCAGGTGCCCCATCTATGATCATTTTTTTTTCTATGATCATTTTTAAGACAAAATTCCACTCATCAGATATACTCTTTTAAGTGTACACAGAGGTATGTTCAATGATGTTCTTGAAGCAAGGTTTCTGGTAGTAAAAATAGAAAACATCTGGAATATGCAGCCATTAAATAGGAGGTGGAGTCACTTATACTGGATACCCTTGATAACCTAGAGGTAGCTGAAAGGGATCATTAAAGGGAAAGACAGGAAGGTTCAGGTACAGCATGATTTTTGGGTTAAAAAAAATACCACGAAGAGAAAAGATCTGGTCATATATTTTTTTAAGTCAACAGTCCATAGCTTCTGGAGAGTAGGGTGGGATTGTTGGGGGCACAGGAAGGAGGAAGGTGGTTTCTTTTTCACTGTGCATTTCTGTTTTTTTTTTCTTCTTTTTTTAAACATGAGGGTATGTTACTTTTGTAATTTAAAGAAGTTACTGGTATTGGAGAAGTACTTACATCTTCAAACTCTTGAAGCCAATCAGACAAAATCCAAGTACATTCCCTGCACTCCAAAGAAAACTGGGCAGAGAACCCAGAAAGGAGCTCACAAAAATGGTCAACAAGTAAATGAAATGTCTACCCACGGTAGCACTAAATTCTCCCTCCTCCCTGGATCTCTAGTGCACCGTTCTCTCTAGCAAGACACCAGCTGAATGTTTACCCTCCTAAAGATAATGCAGTTCATATGTCAGCACAAGGCCCTTCCCCTTCCTTCTGCACACTGGTAGCATATCCCATATGGGATGTCACCATGCTTTTTATTCAACACTTTATCTTGAGGTGCTCAGTGGCTGCAGTGCACCACTCTGTGGATGCACCCTAATTTATGTAACTTCAGTGCTATGATGGACATTGAGGCTGTTTCCCTGCTTTTGCTGCTATAAACAATGGTACAGATCCTTGCACATGACCACTGTGTACCTGGTGTACAGGCTGGGCACATCCTTAGTTCTGACTACTGGATCAAAGTAGAAATTATAAAATCTCCCCACAAAATTTTACATCTATTAAACAAAACTCAACTCCCCACACCTTAATGAACCATACTGAACCTTCTTCATCTTTGCCAATTTGATAAAAGTGGTCTCCTGCTATAAAATTTCTGGTAGTAAATACCAAAAGGCTTAGACTTGCGCATCTCCTTGGATCAGAAATTCCCCTTCTAGGAGTCTACCCTAGGAGAGAATAAGGGATAGTGGGCAAGATGTTCACTGCAGCCAGTTTGGTGGAACAATGCCAAAATGTACCTCATACTGTGCTTGAATTTTCACTTCTTTTCTGCACATGAAAACGTACCACCACCCCTTGGCCCTACTCTTAATGGCTTTCAACCACCACTAATGGTTGGCATGTCTCTCCTTCATTAACTTTAAAAATAAAACCAGCAGTTGGTTTACCAGCAACAAATACGTTTATTTGGGAGTGGTAGAGAACTACAATCCAAGACAAGCATGGTAAGGCAAAACCGTAGGCAAGTCCAGAGAACAAAAGAGAGGAATGCTCTTTTATGGAGGAAAGTGAGAAGCTGGGAGGGCTGTTATAAACAAAAAGTCCATTAGAGTAAACTGGGAGTTCAAAGGATAGTTGCTTTTCATTGGCTGAGTTGTGACTGTCTCTCATTGGCTGAGCTGTTGCCAGAGAAGTAGAAAACCTTTCTTCTGCTGGAATACCAAACAGCTAACCCATAGCAGGGACTTAGAAGGTTTCTCTTCTATTTGGTTCTGCAATTAAGGAGTTTAAGGAGTGGTAGGACATGAGATAGCTCCCTGCTGGCTTTCCAACTTTGTTGTAAAGGAGGCTCCCTTTTATTTTCACACCTCAGCCTTTTTACTGAGATTTTTAACAACTTAAAAATATGAAAAATGCTTTAACAACAATACACATTTTTAATTATTTTCCTTTTAATCCTCTGTGAAAAACTTAAAACATACATCAAAGTAGAAAGAATATTGTAACAAACTCTGCATCATCTAAACGTGACAATTAGTATTTTGCTTCAGCTTTTTCTCCCTGCTGAAGCATTTTCAAGCAAGTATCAGGCTGATATTCCACCCCTAAATACTTCACTATGTCTAAAAACTTAGATTTATATTTTTAAAGGTTTATTTATTTATTTATATATTTGAGAGGGAGATTGAGAGAGAGTGAGTTCATGAGAAGTGAGAGGTCAGAGTGAGAAGCAGATCCCTGCTAAGCAGGGAAGGCTGATGTGGGACTCCGTCCAGGGACTCCAGGATCATGACCTGAGCGGAAGGCAGTTGCTTAACCAACTGAGCCACCCAGGCGCCCCATGACTTTTATTTTGAAATGTCATATTTATATAAAAGTTGCAAAAACAGGGCAATCTGTGCCCTCATGCCCTTAACTTGAATTCCCCATGTTAATATTTCTGAATATTGAGAAGAATACTAGAACATGAAAATCAGTTGCAGACATGACAAAGGAAAACCTGGTCACAAAGGCCCTCTACTATCTCTGGGCCACTGCTCTCTGGCCAGAGGAGATACTCAAATGGTAAGCACCAAAGCCCACACCCACTTCTGTCTTCTCCTTTGTCCTTCACATTTCAAGACTATATAAGAACTGATTTCTTCCTTAAAAAGTCAAATAAAAGATGCATAAATATCACTTTAAGCCCTATACCATGCCTCAAATCCAAGGCTCCCTGTGAGTCCTCAGAATATTATCTGTGCAATACACAAGGCACTACAGTGGACATTTCCCACAACTTACTTATTGCTTGTTTTAATTACTGTTATTTTATTGGCTCACTTTCCAAACTCCCCTGCTCAAATACCCAAAGCTGTACCTAAGCTGTTTGCAGCAGCATCACAGTGACCACTGCTGACCCTAGGATGGTGACTCAAGAAGTAGAACTTTCAAATGCTTAGAAACTCTACCAGACTGCCATCTGAAAAGCCCACAGGTTCTTCCACCAGCACAGTGTGAAGGGTCGTTTCACAGTATCACTTGACAGTAGTTATCACGCACATCCAGTGGCTTAACACAGCTGATGAGCAAAACGTGGACCCAATTGTCTTTCATAAATCGCTCCACTACTGGTGAGCCCAAGTGTGCTGGCTTCTCAAAGGCCTCTTTAGCAGTGGAAGCCACAATAAAGTGAATAATAAATAGTTTGCCTCTTATTTTCCACCTATCACTAAGAGCTAGCCCCTAGCACAAATGCCTGCTGAGACTTCTGTGCTGTTAAAGAAATAAAATGCCAGTGACCAGGCCTCATGGTGCTTACCTAGGAGGATGTTCAGAGTTAGCAGAGGAGCATCAGCCTCATGCCTATGATGTCTGCAAGAGGTACAGGGGGATACAGTAAATAGGAAGGGCAGGAAGCCCACAGCTCCTGAAGGTGAGAAATGAGGACATGTAGTTGGATGAATGTTGGCTCCGAAAGATATGTCCACAGCTTAATCCCTGGAGCCCATGATCTTATTTGGGGGAAAAAAAAGTCTTTGCAGATGTGATTAAGTTCAGAATCTTTAAATGAAGAGGTCACCCTTGATTTTCTTTTTTTTTTTTTTTTTCCTTTTTTAAAGATTTTATTTATTTACTCGACAGACAGAGATCACAAGTAGGCAGAGAGGCAGGCAGAGAGAGGAGGAAGCAGGCTCCCTGCTCAGCAGAGAGCCTGATGTGGGGCTTGATCCCAGGATCCTGAGATCATGACCTGAGCCAAAGGCAGAGGCTTTAACCCACTGAGCCACCCAGGTGCCCCCATCCTTGATTTTCTGATGTGCTATAAATCTAATGACAAGTGTCCTTATCAGACACACAGTGGAAACTTGATAGTAGAGGAAGACCATGTGAAGACAAAGACGGAAACCACAATGCAACTACATGCCAAAGAACACTAAGGATTGTCAATAGCTACCAGAAGCTGGAAGAGGCAAGTAATGGAGGAGGGGTTGGGAGTGGCCTGACTTCTGGCCTCCAGAATTATGAGAGAATAATTCTGATGTTTTAAGACACCCAGTTCATGGCAGTTTTGGTAGTCCAGAAAACTAATAAAAACATCATACTACTTCTACTTTGTATGTATTTTGGAATTTCTGTAACTTGCATGAAAATTATAGTGGCATATCCTTCATTTGTGAGCTGAGGTTATGGCAAGGGGAGAGAGGCTCTGGAAGGTCCTGGATTTACATGAGTGGGGCTAGAAGTCACAGACATCCCATGAAACCTATTGCCTGTTCTCCCTCAAGACTCCTCTCACTAGGCCACTGTTCCTCCAGGAACGCTTATGAGTACGTCCACCTCAGGGTATTTGCGTGGATCATCCAGGTGATCCCTGCTGCTTCATGCCATTCTGTAGCTCTCGGGGCATCTGCAGAGGTCTCCCCCATTTTCCATCCCCCTGCCTGACTTGTTTTCTTACAGACTTGCCCCAAGTGGTGTGATGGCTTTCTTTCTTAATGTCATACTCCCCTCCACATCAACTTGGGGGCATGCTGTAGGCTCCTGACACGTGTTCTGAGTAAAACCAGGATCCTTAGGTACACATCAGTCCCAGTCTGAGATGGGCTCTCACAGGGCCCCTGACTCCCAAGGGACACCACCACCAAATCTCCCAAATCTTTCCTATGGTTAAGGAGCAAGCCAGCAGGTTGGGCCTGCCTTGTCCTAGATACAACGTCAAGAGCAGACCTGATAATGTCCCTGAGCTGTCAGCTCCCCACCTAAGAAGACCCAGTAAAAACTGTCCCTCACATGCAGCCCGACGGTGGGTTTGTCCTGACCAAACAGAAGCAAATGGGGTGGTGTGGCACACAGACTTTATTCTGACCCCTCCCCAAGTCCTGGGTCCAGGTCCACGTCCTGACCAGCAAGTGGGTTCACTCAGCACTTAGAAAGACCCTCTTGCGTGCGGTGTTGGTGTATGGGTGCCAGCGCCACTCCACATCTGCTGTGGCCTCCTGTTCCAGCGTGCCCAGGCGGATCATGTACACTGGGAGGTGTAGATGGGTACATTGTCACCTACACCGCCAGTACCCCACCACCATGAGAAGTGGAATTAAGCCCCAAACTCACACTTCAGTTCAAAGCGAGGTCCAACCTCTGTCAGCTCCACAGTGCGGTGGTTGGTCTTCCTATATACGTGGTGCCTGGAGGCAAGGGGAGACAGGGTAGGGGTGAGAGAAGACAGTGAGCAGATGTGAGCCAATAACAAACAGCAGTGGAACACAAAGGTCAGGACGCCATTCTGAGGCCAGCCCATGGACCTACCGGAAGGAGATATAGTCATCTTGGTTTGCGAAGGTGATGACACGGTGGCTGTCATCCTTGGGCACGGGGAACAGGTAACGGAGTATGTCAGAGACCTGGGTCAGAGGGAAGGCGAGTAGCAAATGCCCAGCCTGGAACTCCCTGCCCCCAGCCCTCACCCCATGGACCCAGACTCACCCGCTTGCCTAGTTGGGAGGAGAAGCCATGCATGATGAGGTGAGGCTTGGCCTCGGACACGGTGCCCAGGTCAGGAATGTCATGGCGCATGACCACATTGCACAGTGTGAAGTAAGCAGTGGGGCCGAAGGGCAGGTGGCTGACAATGAGCCCCACTGGTGGGGCCAGGCGGGCTGTCAGAAACCTTATCTGCTCTCAGACAACCACCCCAGCAGACACCCTGTTCCCACCACAGTCTCACCAGGTGTGCCTCGATGCTCATGGACAACCAGCAGGTCAGTGACACCATTGGCTTTGCAGGCTCGCACCAGTGCCCCTACCTCATGCCGGCCACGGTTCATGCGTTGGGCGCCTGGGAATACCAACTTCAGCTCCTTGTATGTGAACACATTTCAATTAGGACTGGGGCCACTAGTGCCTTAGGACCTCCCATTCGCTTCCCACTACTGGTACCTTTGCAAACATCTTGAGGCGGGAACTGGGGTCTCGGGAGGTAGTGATCATGACCTTAGGATCTTCAACCCCTGCCCATCGATATTCATCATCCACATGGTTGGTCACACCTGGTAATAGCATGAGGGGAAAGAATGTGATTGTCTTGGGAAATAAAATGCTAACTTGAGGGTGGCTCAATCTGTCTAGAGTAGCACTGTCTGACAATACCTTTGATGATGAAAATAAAATGTTCCACACCTGCACTGAGCAGGAGGGTAGCCCTCCAGCCACACTGGTTATAAAAACAACTATGACTGAGGAACTAAATGTTTAAATTTGATTTAATTTTACTTCATTTTAATTACATTTATCACACGGGGTTAATGACTACCAAGTGCAAATCCAGATTCTGTTAAGACCAAAGGTAACTGACTCCTTTTCCTCATAACAAAAATTCATAATGTCTGTTTAGGTGTTAATGAAGTGCTGGGAGCTGGGGACATGGCAGTAAACAAAATGGATACTGTCTTGCCTCAGCAAGAGTTCATATTCTGATAAAGGGGATAATTAACAGACAAAACAGAGTAAGTGGGATAACCTGTATGTGCTAAATAAACGAAATTGGGAGCACTAAGAAAGAGCTCTCCTAAAGTGCCATCTGTGCAAGGTCAGGAGGGCATCTGGGAGACAGTTTCGCAAGGAGGAGCTACATAGCCTTTCCTTCAAGCTGTCCGTGGAATGACATAGAAACCAGCAGGCTCAAGTGCAGGGGAAGAAGCTGGCCCAGTGTCAGGGAAGTTTACCTTCACCGCCGGCGTCATCAAACTCCAAGGAACCCTGTAAGGCCAGAGCCTCCCTGCGTAATTCGGTGGGAATCAGGCAGTTCTCTGCAGGGGGAACACAGAGCAGCTGAGTAAGACACATGAATGGAGCCCTCAGTTTATACAACACTGTGGCTTACAAAAAACTGTACAGACTTGATTAAAAAGTTCCCCTTTCACTCCTTTCTGTGCAGAAATGTGTACATGACTTCTTTGGCAGGGGGAAGAGGGAGACAAAACTATTTTTGTCTACGTGCCAAGCTGTTAACAATGGTTACAGGAGATTTCATTTTCTATGGTTTCTAGTTTCATGGTTTGAGGGCTTTCTAAAATATTTAGTTGCAAATATATACTGTTTTTGTACTTAGAAAAAAATTAACACGTGATTTTTAAAAGAACAAATAGAGCGTTCTTTCTATATGAATGTGGCCCAGAACCCCTGAAAACCCTAAAAACCCTCTGACAACAAAAGTGCTAAACTTTATGCTTTGGGTCAGATTTCCTCTGTGAACTAAAGCTAGACTTGTTTTTTTTAAAAAAAAAAAAAAAAAAAAAAAAAAAAAAGGCTGGGCTGTGGGCATGCCCACTTTGGAGTACAGAGCTCAATATGAACATGCCCTTGGAACCAGCATGTCTTTCCAATATGCCCTGGAGAAATTCTTGCACATGGAAGAGAAGGTTCATAGCAGCAATGCTGTTCCTAACTGCGCCAGACTAAAAAAATAAGGTCAACACCAAGCACAAGGAAATGGGAGCCCCCACTACACAAAATAGTTCTTAGAAAACATAAAGCTGGGAAAGAATACATACAACCTAATAACTACATTTAAAACTAAAAATCAACCCATGTGATTTAAGGATACAAACAAGTATGACATAAGCATAAATAAGAGTAAGGAAATGGCTTATTTTTAAACAGTATCCTGTATTGTGGCTATCTGAGTTGGGGGAAAATACTCCTGAATTTCAATAATTTGAGTTTTTTTTATTTCTAATGTGGGCAGACAGATCACAGATATTTAACATAACGCTTAATGTAAACATATAGATTCATGCACTTTATATGTCTAAAACACAGAAAATCAAAGTGAATTTAAAATAATCAGAGAGGGGGCCTGGGTGGCTCAGTTGGTTAAGCGACTGCCTTTGGCTCAGGTCATGATCCTAGAGTCCCCAGATTGAGTCCTGAATCGGGCTCCCTGCTCAGCAGGGGGTCGGTCTGCTTCTCCCCCAGACCGCTCTTCTCTCATGCTCTCCCTCATTCTCTCCCTCTCAAATAAATAAAATATTTTTAAAAAAATAATCATAGATAGTAAGCTGATGTACCATCCAGACAGGAAAGTTCTACTCACACAAGAACCAAGAAAATAGGGATAAGTATAACATTTTCATTCAAACAAGTTAACACTCTTCATTCGTATGACAAAAAGCGGAGAAAATACTGCAGTTAGATCCCAATTCACAACTCGAATAAAAATAAATTCTCTACGGTTTATCACTTTTTAAATGCGACGTAATCATAGTAACAACTAAAAGATATTCTTGTCATCTTGTACTGAAGAAGGTAGCAAAAAGAAAAACAACGGGGGGGAGGCGCGGGAGGACAATGTAAAAATTTAAAATTTGGGAAAAACTAAACACACTGTAAACAAAATTAATAGGCAAACTGTAAAATTTGGATACTGCAGCATATATGACAAGATATGAAATTTATAGCATCACGGAAAGAATTTATAAACCCAAAAGGCAAGAAAACGGCCAGTAAATACTTGAAAGGATGCTCAGCCATACAAATACTAAGAGATGCTAATTAAACGCGTTTTATACCATTTGGTCTTTTATTCCGCTGGATTTTAAAATGCAAACCATGGTCTCTATAACGACAGGTTTAGAGGACTCCCCCGTCCCCGAGTGGGGGCGGAGAAGTGCCTACCTTCCAGGGCGCGCCGAACCTTCTCCTTCCGGTCCTGGGCAGCTTGCTGCGACTCCTCTCGGGCCTTGCGGTACAGGTACTCCCGGCGAAGGCGTGCCTCACGACGCAACTACGGAAAAAGCGGGTTAGCTCAGCCTCCTCGCCACGCACAGCCGGGCCCGGGGGCCACTAGCCCCACCAGCCCCACCAGCCCCAAGCCCATAAATCATCCTCAGCCCTGCGCGAGCCCCCAATATAAAAAACAAGAGCTCAAACATCCCTCCTACCATTCTGAGCGCGGATTCCACGTGGGTCTAGGAGAATGCCGGGCACAGCGTCAGCAACGTCACCCAAGATTCTGCCCTCAATCAAGAAGGTCGCTAGAGGCTTTGCGGCACTCTATTACTGTGGGGAGTGCCAAATGTTAAGATGGCGGAGGGTGGGTTAGGAGTTGCAAGGCGATTGGCCAATCTGGAGACGCAAACTTACTGGAACACCAATAGACGGGCGTCAAAACGTTGTCACGTTGGTAAGGCTCGCCCTTACTAAAGATGTTAGTGCATGGCTTCATTACTTACCACTGTGCAGGATGCCCAATTTTAAGATGATGAACAGCTAGAGTAATCATAATTGGCGGTTCAAAATGATCCAGCAACTGTAAAAGCAGCACAGCGGCTGACTGGAGGCTCGCCTACCGGCTGCTGGAATTAAAGCCTCTTCTCCCTTAAAATAGCTGCCATACAGCTATACCTCTTCCATCACCACAGCTATCGCCCTACTGTTAAAAAGCGGCCTCTTACCGCTTCTCGGCCTTTTGGCTAAGATCCAGTGTAAAATGCGGCCTCTTCCCAAAGCGACTCGGAACCACCCACAGCTCTAGCCGACTGTTTCGTAGGCTCACATGCCTCGGAAAACCCAGCTAATCAATTCTGCAGCGCGGCTCTAAGCGTTTGCCTTTCGAAAGATTGGGCAACTCGGCCCACGGCTGGGAACGCCCATTGAAGGTGAGCCTATTGGTTATCACGCCGGCATGGCGAGCGACGATTGGGCAACCTGTGAGGAGGCTGGTTCCAGACCTCAGTACCGTGGGCCCATGGCTGCGCCGGGCTTACGCGCGCAGATGGACTCGCTCCTTCTGCAACTGCTCCGGGACCTGGAAGAACTGGAGGCGAAACGGGCAGCACTGAACGCCCGGGTGGAGGAGGTGGGATCTTGCGGAGGGAGGGATGGGCGGGCATGCGGGGGTAAACTGAGTTTAACCGCTCTCCTCTTATCCCAGGGCTGGTTCTCACTCTCCAAAGCTCGCTATGCCATGGGTGCCAAGTCTGTAGGTCCTCTGCAGTATGCCTCCCGCATGGAGCCTCAGGTCTGCGTCTACACCAGGTGAGGAGGTGTGTATGTTGGAACGGGTGGGCGGACAGGGTCCAGGCTGGGGCCTCCAAATGTCGATCCTGCCTTCTCGTTCTTCAGAGAGGCCCCGGACGGACTCCAGAAGGTCTGGGTGGTGAGAGCCAGCGCCCAGACTCCGGAAGAGGTGGGGCCCCGTGAGGCAGGTGAGTTCCCCTTTCTTCGCGTCAGGGCTCCCTCCCGATGTCAAAAACAAAATGTACAGGATAATTGAAGAGATTATTTTATTAAGGGTGTTGCGATGGAGAGTGGCCCAGATCGGAGGATCACAGTGTCTCAGCAGGCTGTTTGTTGTTGTTGTTGTTGTTTTGTTTTGTTTTGTTTTGTTTTTTTGCTTTAGACTTCTATAGGGAGAAATGGATAAGTTATAGGTGAAGTCCTTTACGGTTGGAATAGTTTTACAATAGGGGGAAGTTTCAATCAGTTGAACAAAAAATGTTTATATGTCTAACTGGTTTCAGAGGGACAAACTTCTAATCTCAGTCATTTATGAGACAAACGGGGAGTTGGAGGGTCTGTCTAGCCTTTCAGCATGTTCAGGCAAAATGGGAAAAGTCAGTGTGTGGCTCTGTCACAGGTAAACAAGGGGGTCATTTGCTGATCTTATGAGAGTCATGAGAAAGAGTGGTCAGGGCATCTCATCTGAATCACAAACGGAAAGGTTGTTCTTTGTGGTAAGCTGTTTTCTGGAACATAAATGGTTGGAGGGATTTTACAGCCTTCAATGTTTGTCAGGATCATGAGCTTAGATCAAGTTCAACATTATCACAGAGAAGACAAGGGACAGGTAATGAGACCCCCAACCTCCAGTCTGTCTTTCTCCAGCTTTGCGCAGGCGCAAGGGTCTCTCCAGAACCCCAGAGCCAGAGTCCTCCCCAGCCCCCCAGGACCCTCTGAACTGGTTTGGAATCCTGGTTCCACACAGTCTGCGTCATGCCCAAGCCAGCTTCCGGGAAGGTGAGTAGACCCTCTATCTATAGGAAGAAGTAGTAGTAATGACATGCCTGGCTGGGGTTAATCTGCAAAGGTTTTTCCAGGGTTTTTTCCATAGCAGGCTTTTGTTGCACACATGCTGTTTTTTCCAAAAAGGATTTACTGGCTGTTGGCAGTGTTCCAGGCTCATGTTAGGGGCTAGAGATACAGCAGGAAACAAAAGAGATAAATACCCCTCATGGAATGTATATTCCATTGAGGGGAGAATGAAAACATGCAAATAAATAAGTAGGCCCTATATATAATACGGGGTAGTGAGAATTGTTATGGAAAAATAAGATAGGGTATGGTGGATGGAGTGGGACAGGAGTGGGTGAGGGTAGCAATTTTATGAAGGGTGATCTGAAAAGTCCTCTCTGAAAAGATGGAAAGAACTTTGTAGTTGATCTGTGCTAGGCAGAGGGGCCAGCCAGGGCAAAAGCTTTGAGGCGAAATCCTGTTTAGCTTGGCAGAGAGGAGCCCAGATGGGTTAGAGTGGAGTTTATGAAGCAGGGAGTACCAGGAACTGAGGTCAGAGGGGACTGGACCCAGGTTATTTGAGGTATAGGCCCTGATGAGGACTTTGGGAGTCACGGGTGGCTCTGAAGAGGTGAGGCAGAGTTGGATCCACAGAGTGATAGGAAGACTCTGGGTGCTGGGTGGGAACAGACAAGAGCAGAGGTAGGAAGCAGATGTCGGGGAGCAGCCAGGATTGAGATGTAGGTGGAGGCAGTGAAGGAGAATGCAAGTGACAGGAATCTGCATGTTTTGAGAGTAGAAGCCACAAGATTTACTGACAGATCAATTTGAGAGTAAGGGAAGGAGAGGAATGAAGGATGAACCCACAGATTCCAGCAGGAATACCTGGGAGAATGAAGCTGCCCTCACCTGGTGTGGGAGAGCAGCAGCCAAGGGTAAGTCAAGAGTTGAGTGAGAGTGTGTTCCTACTACTGTGTGGTGGAGACTCTGCTCAGGTGTCTGGGCACATGCATCTGAGTTTGGAAGAGACCTGGGCTGGAAAGAGAGATTTGGGAGCCCCCTGCATAACACTGGTGTTTAAATTCCCAAGTTGCTGACACAGACACAGCATTTAAACTGAGATCAGCAGAGGGCCTCAGAGTATGGACAGAAGGTGGGAAGAGGAAGGAGAGAAACCACTTTCAAAGAGACTGAGAAGTAGCAGTGAGGCAGGAACAACAACCAGAGGGTGAGAGATCCCAGAAACCAAGAGGAGAAAGTGCTTCCTGGAGGGAACTGAGCAGATGTGTGGCCAGCTCTGCTGTCAGGCAGGTAGGCTGAAGACTGGACTGGCGAGTGGCCTGGGCATGGAGGGCCCAGAAGACTGTTAAGCAGAAGCATCAGGCAAAAGCCACCTAGATGTAGATCCAGAATGTGGAACACTTTTGGGGGCAGGGTAAACAGAGTGCAAGAATAGTGAAGGACTATTACAATGAAGGAAAAAAGGAAGGAAATGAGGGCATGCAACAGTGTTATGATCTGTGAATTTTTAGTCCCCGGTGGGTAATGTAAGGGAGTAAAGGAAGTCTGTTGAAGAGGTGACATTTTAGTAAAGATGTGAAGGAGGTGAGGGTGTGGGTCTAGTGAGATTCTGAAGCAGCCAGTGCAAGGCTCTTCTGGGAATGTTTTAGAAATAGTATGGAAGCTAGAAAATTCTGGAGCCTTTCCAGTCCCTGGAATGTTCAAAGGCCCCTGAGTCGTATCACATAGTGGATACCATGGTGACAATCTTGTCTCTTCCTCTAGGCCTGCAGCTGGCTGCAGACATGGCCAGCCTTCAGATCCGCATTGACTGGGGTCGAAGCCAACTCCGGGGGCTCCAGGAAAAACTCAAGCAGCTAGAGCCCGAGTCTACCTGACTTGTGACTAGAGGCTAGACAGTGAACACAGCTGTTCTTTGGTGTAGCTACCTTATCTCAGGCCTTCCTCCTTCACAGATTGCCCCTGCCCCAACTAATCCCTGTTCCTTAAAATTTCTCTGGTTTGCATGTTTCTAGCTTTGTAAGGTGTGAAAGTTTGAAGAGCCTCATGGATATATCAGCTGTGGTTTCTTTACAGGATAAAATACTGCACAGTTAGTGGCAGGGAAGGACAACAAATAGGTGCTTCAGTTGCACTAGATTTTGAAAACTGATTTTGGTGTAGGAAAAAAAGACAAACATGGCTAACAAATTAAGACAGTATGATTCCATGTCAATAAAAAACGTGAACACCTAAGTAGGTAGGTAGTCCTTGGCAGGTTTTAAGCCAGAAAGTCTAAAAGATCTGACTTAGATTTTCAAGGGAACTCAAGGAACTCTTCATTTATCTTTATAGGAGTGAGACCATGCTACTTTTAATTTTTGAAAGGCCAAATGTATTTCCTGTGATGGGATCTGTGTCCTTGCTTCATTATCCTACTGGGTTGTTTTTTTAAAAGTTTGCTTGGGGAAAATTAATCCTTTGTTCATAATATGAAATGTAAATATTTTCCCAATTTCTCTTGTAACTTTGCTTATGTTTTTTTTTTAAACTTCATTTTAAAATAAAATGCGTTAACCTGCACAAAATATTGAATAGCTTAATGAGTAACTAAGGTGAAAGCTATAGTAATCATCACCCAGCTCTTGTATTTTTTTTTAGTTTTCTTAATTGATTTAAGAGTTGACTTTATCAATCAGCTGTTTTATCATTTCTGGATTTGGGGTTGTAAATGATATGATAAAAGAATTCTCCAGTATTTTCCTAAAGAACTTACGTGGTTTCAGTTGAGGTGTGGGGTGAATCCTACATCCAGCTTGTTTTTTCTACCATAGGTCTACATTACTGTATGTGGAACCACTGAGTTGAGATGCTCCCTTTTTTTTTCTTTCACATAATCCCAGTGTATACCCATACCGTATTTTGGAGCTTCCATTGTTTCATTGATTTTACTGTCAGTTAATATACAGGTACCACACCGTTCTTTAACATATACTTTAATGGCAGTAGGTCATATCTGTGGTTGGATGGGGGGGGGGTAATTGTTTTTTTTGTTTTTGCCATATTGAGGTTGAGTTGTCAGTGAAAAGCCTAA